CGTTGTTACTAAATGCTGCTTCCTTCATACAACATAGGAATTGATCTCAGTCTGTCTACCTTTCAGCATATATCACATCTTTGCTCTTCCCAGCATACTGAGCATAACTATGGTAAATGACGACCTGTTGGTTCTTTGTCCCCTGAATACAATGTATAAAAAAGCCATTACTACTTTTCTTTCTTGCTGTATAGATGATTCTACCCATTGAAGGAAGTACATGTGCTTTTGTTTACCTCTGTAAACATTGGCTTTAATTGGTTTTCACCGTTTAGAGAATTCTACACGGGAGATCACTCTCAATCACTATTTCATAAGTAAAAAAACCCATGTATTAAACCTTTTTTCTCCGGAAAACCTTGACTTGCCAATGTCCTTAATGTGACTACTCTGCATCGCCCGATACTAGAATCGTCTGATTAAGTTTTTCAGCCGACGATACGATAATAATTTGGTCGCCCGACCATCGGCTTAAATCATTTAATAAATGTGACCTAAGTATTACACGAGGTTATTGATGCATAAAACTCTATATTTAGATATGAACAAACGTGTTTATCCTCTAACTGTTTGAAAAGAAAACTCTGCAATCTGTAATAAGTATAAATAGAATAATTAAATCCTGATCTTCCCACTTAATTTGAATCCTCTTACCAAATATTATTAGATACGTTTCCATGGTAACGATATTCTTTTTATTTATCCATTTATTTTTATGAGGAATAATTGTTACATTGTAATGCTTTCTGTAGTGATTATTTGAGAGTCGTACATGTATCCCCGAAATCTGTGACGAGTGCCAAATCTTTCAATACAGCAGTTACAGAGAATGAATCCCATACTGACAAAATTGCTGGCTATGTGCTAGGAATCATTGCTATGGGTTAAATGAGTACAAAAATATTTTCCTAAAACAAACACGACAATGTCAATTTTTCTCAAACACATATTTGTGACTTGATTTAGATAGATTTTACAGGTTTACATGAATATGTGTCAAAATTAAGTTTCTTTGCCTCGTTGCTATGGGGAAATGTTGTTGTTGCTATGGAAATAAGTCAATGTACGATATTCAATAATTTGCTACAACATTTTACATTCTTTCCACACACTCAGCATATACAATTATCAGCACATTACTTGAATATTCAATTCCATGACAAACAATACGATCCCAAAGTCAAATCTGTTTTACAGGAGGCATAGTGCACATTGGTTGTCATGTACTGGTAATAGTTGCCATGGGTTGATTAAGTATACCAAAAATAAACTTTAATAAGACCAACATTTCATTGTCAATTTTGCTCAACGACATTTTTCTGACTTAATTTGAATAAATATTAATAAGATTACATGAATACATGTCAAAATTAACTTTCTTTGCCCGTTGCTATGGAGAACCTGTTGTTGCTATGGAGATAAATAATTATACAATATTCAATAATTTGCTAGGAAGTCCAAATTTAATACTACTATTTTAAGATTTGTTTTTCGTTTTTGTAGATAACAATTCATTTGATTTTTCCGTAAACTTTTTACATTGTTTCTCATTTTATGTATCAAAATGCCCATATTTGTTGCTAGGCAACAGATTCAATTTTCAAAAAGGCCCATGGATTTGACTTCAAATTCTGAAAGAGAAATTCATCTGCTTTTATGTGAAATACACGCAACAGCTGTATTAATCTGGCCTTTTTTTAAATTTGGCCTTGAATATTGCCAAAATCACGAAAAATGCTGAATCAGCAGAAATTGCAAAACATGTGTACCTTCCAATGGCTAGCACAGAACTAACTCAAGACCTAAATTTCTTTCATTGCATTATTAAAACACTTTAAATGTGTATCTTTATTACACCAGTAATTGAGAATAATTTTCATGGTATTAAAATTTTATTTTAAGCCTTAAAGATAGGTGAATTTTTGTCCATCAACATGGAAAAAATTGCCGGTTGCTAAGGAAATTTCTTTGGCCGGGTTTCCATGGTAACCATGACTCAAAACATTTTTCATTTTACATACATTGTTCATAGTTCAAAACAAATCTATGTGTGGAAAATCATCAAATTCTGAAAACCTTCATGTATCACTTTCATACAATTTTGTCTGATTTTTATGTGGACTGGTACTTAACTTATGCTATATATCCTCCGTATTGCTGTACCTCTTATATATTTATGTTTTCCTTGAATTTACACAAGGCAGCAAAAAAAGAAAAAAGAAAAAAAAAACAAAAAAACTGATATTAACTCGATCATTTTTAAATAATTCCCTGTGAAAATTACATTTTAATAAAATGTGTATTTTAACCAGAATAAAGTATGGACATCATAAAAATCCACCCTTCTGTGAATGCAAACATAATCCATGCTGACCTTAACCTCAAAATAAAAATCACTTCCAGACAGAGGCGTTAATTAGAGATCGGACTCTGGATATTCTACAACAGATGAGTAATCACAGGAGACTCACTGAAGCTTCCATAGTTTACAAGAGAAACATTTTCAGCAGTTATTTCTCATTGCCCATTCCTATATAAAATTAGGAGTCAACCCTAACATCCCAGCTCCAAACCGGATAACATACAGAATCAAAATTAGTATCAAAACAGTCTTACTGCCTATTCAACCAACATGCCAAAGAACAAATGCACTTACGGGCCCCGGTAAAAGATAAAAAAAAATGAAGATTCAAATTAAGCATAATTTTTCATCTCACATCAATTGGTATCTAAGCTATAAGATTCAACAAATTTTAGCGCTGAAATTAATGTATATATAAAGAACAAAGCCATACAATGTGGTAGGGGTCAGCCGACTTTTATTATTTGCTATAGTAAATCGAGGACGGGCAATCATTTCAAAGCCTTTGTTTATTGTCAGCCTAACGTTGTACAAACTTGTGTCGAAGAAAGAACACGCATTATACATATATAAAACTTGTGTGAAAGTAGGAAATTTGTACATTAGGCTGGTACTTATAATATTAAAGCAATATGAGCTGCAACTTTGATGTCATAAATTTTTGTTGCAAAATTGTAATTTTAAAACTGTTTCAATGACAGAAAAAAGAACTTTTATAAAGTTCTGTTGTTCATATTTGCGATGGAAGAACTATTTATTAGCTTTGATTGAAGCAAAATTACATTATTGTCGTCCTGTACAATATTGATTTCTCTTATAATACTATATATTTGATTGTACAGAATCCTTTATTCTGAATCAATTTGATACTTTATTTCTGTCTAATTCATCAAAAAGGTTTAAAATACATACAAATTTATTATAATAACACATTTGAGTTTCTCAAAAATACAGATTGAAAAAATAATTAATCAACAAATAAATTATTTCAAGTTAATTATTATAACGCTAAATGAACATGATTTGCAGAAACTTTTTGACTAATTGTTACTTATGAATTCAGCTCTACTGCAGCTGGTTTTAAGTAATACCGATATCAAATAAATCTGTTCTTAAATGGTTGTACAGTAAAACATCTCACTCTATACACCTAAATATCCTTTCGTAATTTAAAATTGAAAAAAAAGAAATATTTTAATATTTATTCTATTAATTCAAATGTAATCGTGCAAAATTCTTAGTTTGGTCACTATGGCTACAGGAGACTATCTACAGCTTCATTCGATTTTTTTAATACATAAAATAACGCAAGACGTATCATTTGGCAAACGCTCTCGTCGGTGATCCACCATCAGACTGTTCAAGTGCCGATTTTAATGTCTCCTCCCCCTGATTTAAATACTCAGTAGACGAAACTCAAGTAGGTTCGGTACATCTTTTCCGAATTTGGGGTATCTATAGGCATTTAAAAATCTCCAACTGATTAAAATCCATCCTGATTTAGGTGATGTTTAACGTGATTTTAAATTAGAAATATCCACCAGTGTTTAACTATAACAAATAGAGAAGGATTTGGTAATATATTCTGTATTAAAAAGGCATTGAACAGGGGCCCATTATCTATTACTTAAGTGCACTTGTCCTTATAACTTAATAGACATTAGAATTATTAGAAAACCAGAAAATTTGCGGACGGAATAATGACAGACACAGAGTGATTACTATAAGGCACCCGCAAATTCTTGTGGGACCCTAATTATAAAACAGTTATGTTACATTCCTTAGTGTTACCCGCAGTAACATTTAAAATTAAATTCTTAACCACAGAACACAAAAATTCTTAAATTTTTGCAACATTAAGTTATAACAAAATTGTACAATATTTATAGTTCCAATAGTTCATAGTTAAACACATGAAATTGTTTAAACTTGTCTTTATATCTTGAATTATTCCTATTGATGTCACAAAACTAACTAAAAATATATTAAGAAGAATAAAAGTATATTATAGAATATTTTACTTTATGTGACAAACACTGCAAGCCATTTAGGACAACCAGACGCATTCTAATCATCAATTCTTTTCTTTATATTTATTCATTTAGTCATGCTAAATCTGGAAACCATTTAATGCTATATATGAATTTCTAACCTTGGCCTTTGGACCTCAAAATTGATAGGGGTCTCTTTCAAGGGAGGTGTAAAATTTCTTCGCAAAAGCTCAAAGAACTTGTCATCTTGAAACCATTTTATGCAAAATATGAATTTCTTACCTTCACCAATTGACTTTTGACATCAAAACCAATAGGGGTCCTTTTTTTTACTCCGTTATATAGAAAATTGATGCAAAACTTCATTGCATAACCTCAACAAGAACAGAATCATCTCGACACTATTTTATGCAATATATAAATTTCTGACCTTGACCTTTCATCTTTTAACTTTAAATTCAATGTAGGGGGTTTTCCTAAATTATAGTGATATTATCAAATATCATTGCAAAGGCTTTTAAAAGGAAGTTCTGAGATGTCTTCCAGAAACAAAAGTAATGCAAACAGAATGACAGACAGACAGCTAGACTGATGGATGGACAGACAGACCCAAATTCATTTCATTTGTGATAGAATAACAGACATACCTGTATTGCTGCTAGTATGTTTGCCAGTGCTTGTCCATATGTGTCATGGCAGTGGACCGCCAATCGTTCAATAGGAACACATTCTGTTACTTTGCTAATTAAATGTTTCATGGCTCCTGGATTTCCTACACCGATTGTGTCACCTAATGATATCTCATAGCAACCCATTTCAAACATCTGTTTAGCTACCTACAATTAACATAGATATATATATATATATATATATATATATATATATATATATATATATATATATATATATATATATATATATATATATATATATATATATATATATATATATTATAACTACAGAAACGTGATGAAAAAAAAATCAATAACATAGAGTTGACAGGCGTAGATCACCTGATGAAATAAGATGGAAAGTGTTGAGTTAAATCTGGTGACTCATATTTTCATCCAAATGTAATTCAGTTGATTGAACCACGTTCCTGTTATTGTTTGCAATATGAATGACAATAATTCTCAATGGAAAGACCAAGTGCTTTACCGGTCACCGGAGTATAATACAACAATGACAAGAGAAGATTTTCAAAGAATAATGAATTTCCACTATATAATCAATAGAGTCCAATCCTAACACAAGAAACCCCTGACTTAGCAGCCATGATTTCACAGTTTTGATAGAGACTTATCACAGTTATGTACTTACTTCATCTACCAAAAATAAACCAATTTGGTGTTGGTAATTTTGTGAATGACAATGAAGGAATGCATTTTTAAACTGGTCTTGAAACTTACCGTATTTTTTTTGTTCTTAGGACATTAGGTCCAACGGCTTATTGTTTAAAATATATTTTTTCAAGTTGACAGTCAAACTGTTTCTGTTGAAAACTAGTTTTTATGACTTTAATGAAACTTAAGCGTTATTTAACAAACTCTGAATTGTCTAGATTTTTTTCATTATCTGAATCAACTGTTAAAAATGTTGTTTTCACATGGATAATTTTTAACTATGTCAGAGCAATGTCAAGCAGTTAATACTTGGCCATCTCATAGTTTAGTCAAATACTTTGCTCCTTTTGATTTTAAAGCAAAATTTTCTGCAACAAGAATTATTGCAGACTGCACGGAATGTCCTATCACAAAGCCTAAGGCTCCGAGGGCACAGCAGGCAACATTTTCATTATACAAGAATCGAAACATAATTAAAATTCTTGTAGGGTCAACACCAGGTGGATTAGTTGGCTTAGTTAGATAGGCAGATTGTAGAGAGATGTAAGCTAGTGCACCTATGTGATCCTAAAGACAGTGTAATGGCTGATAAGGGATTTAACATTCAAGATCTTTTTGCACGAATGGATGTCACTGTAAATATTCCAACATTTTTCAGAAAAAGAAACAGAATGAGCGGAAAACTTCTTCTTAGAGATAGGAAGATTTCTAATAAAAAAAGTCCACATTGAGAGGATAATAGGTCTAGGAAAATTTAACTAATTTTTTACTATTCCACCAAACGGTACAGAGACCAAAATATTATCTCATATCACTTTTGATTTTTACATGTTCTGTAATTTTAGAACATGCAAGTGTTTTTAGGTATTTGCGGAATGCTCCATGTGCTTCAAGCTCTCGAAGTTCCAATGGCAGTTTATTCCACTTTGGAAAACTTCATACACACAATGATGACTTTCCCTTAGATTTGTCATTTAAGCAAAATGTGGGGAAAGATATCGCGCATAATACCAAGAACACATGTGACTATGTATACCGGGTACACGTGTTTTTTAGACTCTGTAACTAGTCTTCAAAAAACATTATATTTAGTAAAAGTTTTGAAAAAAGTATTAATTACTTTTCTTCAAAGTTACTCTGATTTTAGCCGAGAGCATGTTTTACATGTATTATTTTATATACATGTGTATTTACTTCTTTGCTCGATAAAACATGTCGTTAATTTACGGATCGGGGAATGAAATAATTATATACCTTTCAACTAATTCTTTTTTACGGCCAGAAAGTTGGGCATTTCCAGTTTTAAAATTCATCTTTAAGGTCTTTGATGGTCATATTTGCATACTTTGTGCTTGAACACCGTCGCTAATTGATGTAAACAAATGATGCTGGACCGGGAACACTGCGCCGTCTAGCGAAAATCAGCTGGATATAACCGACCATTGTTTGCCATTGCTGACACAACCTGTTCGCCCTTTTAATTCTTGGACATTGTAGTTCTGTATGGGTACTTCTGATGATTTTTCTCCCACATGTACCTTAGTAGTTTTAAAAAGGAACTTCGATATTCTGCATTTACATAGTAGCTTTTAACAGCTTTTAACAGCTGTTGGTTTTATGCTGAATCGAGCTGTTCTACCAGCTGTCTGTGTGTCCTTGTTTACGGTAATTTACGGTAATTTTTTTTAGAATGGAATAAAAGTACACATGTAAGATGGATGGTGAAATTTCATGATAAACGCTATTGAGGGGCAATATGAAAGCTATCTATCCTTCCGTCTTCTCAGAAATGAATCATATAGATTACACGATGGATATGTGCTGGTGCCGGTGTAAAGACGAATAATGACCCCCATAGAATAATGACCGGGGGTCATATTTCAACGACAAAAAATGACCCCCCACCCGTAGAAAAAAATAATTTTTTGTAGAAAAAGAGACCTAGGGGTCAATTTTTTATGTGTGCGTCCTATAAAAAATTGACCCCCGTTGAAAAATGACCCCCTTTCCAACAGAGTGCATGTACAAAATTTATAACGGGTGACTGATGCCAAGGTTTGAACCTCAATGTTTGATATTCTTTTTTATGCCTTTTTTGACCAACACTGGACGAACGCGCAATTAAAATGCAATAAAACCGCATTACATTTACCTGCATATTTCTATCTTTTAAGCCTATTGTGTTCTCAGCACATATTGAAAATCGCAAAATGGCTACTATTGGTTATAACTGATAACGTAATTTCCCTTTATGACTGTCTTCCATTTGTTTCATATTTGGATATTTGACTGATTATAGACATTCATAGCTAAATAACAGACAAGCTGGATGTTCTGGCTTTTCATTGGTAAACATGTCTCCCAAAGTAATCAGCATGCTTTGAGTAGGATCAACCTTTCTTTTAAAAAAAATGAAGGGAAAAAAAGAATGAGATAAGTTTTCAGAAATAAATACGGAAAGTTATGCAATGTATTATATATGTAAATTTTGAATGACATAAAAAGTCGTGCAAATGAGGTAGAATGTATCGAAAATGACGTAATAACTCGTGCGAACGACATACTGTGGATATATATATTTCTTAATAAAAAATGGTGAAGATAACGAACAGTGATGATTTTAAAATATCCACAATGAGTACAAATTTGTTAACAGGGCATAAAAAAGGACCCCCGAAAATTTCAGAGGTGGGATCAGGTGCCTAGAAAGAGTAAGCATTTCCTGTTGTCCCGTCACACCCGCCTTGAGAGCTCTGAATAAATCAGGTAAAGGGACATTCCGTTGTCGAATTTAGTATAAAAACAAGGGCCAAACAATTGACCTAATTATAGGTTTTATTTGTTGACAGGGTCATTGATACGACCATTAAATTTACGAAATGCTGACTTTAAACGAGGTTGTTGAAACCCCTGTAACATCAATTTACATGTAACTGTCAGTAGCCTGTCTCGATTTAAAAATTAATCGTTCTCTTGGGTATCGAATAAGTTGGTAGACGTAAACATTATATGCAAATGATTGCAGAATATTACTTCATAAATAAGGAAAATTGACAATAGAAAAGGCTGAAGTCATCCCGTTTTCAGACAATTTAGTTGTTAGTTGGTCTTTATGGTCTATAGTCAGTAGAACGTCCAAATATGAAGCAGACGTGGCAATCATAAGAAGGACATAAAATTTCTGCATGTCTGAAATATATACAATCTTAAAATGTGCATTCAATTTTATTTATAAACAGTGGTCTACTCTATGGGAATTTCTTTTCAAGTATATAGAAGTAATACAGGAGAATCAAGTCTGTTAACATGGTCGTCTGAGAATATGATACATACATGTAAGAGGAATATTTTTTAATCAATTTTAAAACAGTGATACATTTGTCAAATCAATATGGAAACATTTTCAATACAGTATATATTGAAGTAGATTAATGTTTTCAATTTATAATTAAAGACAAGACTATATTATTGACCTTCAAGGGGAATACATGTATAAGGATTTATTTTTCCTACATTAAACTAAAAATAGATTGAAAAAACAATTCTGAAAAGTTATTTCACCTGCATCTGAATTCTACTCAAGTGAACATAATATTCAGGCACAAAGAATCGGAGAAGAGGGAGGGATTGTTTTAGCAATTTCTAATTTGAAAATGTTCATTGAAAGTCTTGTAACCACCCCCTCTTTCTTTTACAGTATAGTTAAAAAATCTCTCCTACTTGGGTGAACAAGGTGAACATTACATTCAGGCATATAGAATCAGGGATGGGGTGTCCACCCCCTTCCATTTCCATGAAGGTATTCTTTTTTATTTTTTCGCTTGAAAATGGTCATTGCAAGTCTGGTTGTCCTAAGAAAATTGTGTCCAGGATTGATGTACATCACTATGATATGTCAAAATACCGTAATTCTTTGAGACATCTGATAAATCAGCCTATTCTTTTTTCTTGTAAAATATACTTGGGAGATTGAATACACGTATTAGTTTTTTTGTTCAGTAGTAATGATTTTTTTGGAAATTAATTTTGCGTTTTTCTTATATACAATCATATGCAGATTAATTGGTGTTGAGGTTCACATTTTTAGATCACCTGAGCTGGAGTTCAAGTGAGCTTTTCTGATCGCATTTTGTCTGACCGTGCCTCTGTCTGTAAACTTTTCACAATTTCAGCTTCTTCTCAAGAACTACTGGGTTAATTTCAACCAAACTTGCCACAAAGCATCAGTGGATAAAAGGGATTCAAGTTTGTTCAAATGTAGGGCCAGGCCCTCTTTCAAGGGAAGAAGTTAAGGATTAGTAAAAATTTAGTGACATCTTTTAAAAATCTCAAACACCACTGTGTCAGAAATGATGAAACTTACGTGAAAGCTTCATTATGACTTGTAGATTCAGTTTTACATGTATTCAGATCATGTCCCTCGAGGCTACAATAGGTGATCAAATTTTTTTTTCAAAGAATATTTAGAAAAAAAAATCCTTCATTTTTTGTGC